ATCGGCCACACCCTGTCAATTCATGACAGTATCATTACCACTCGCCGCGTCTTTACAAGGTTAATACAGCTACCATTACTATTTTCCAGAAATATTATATATATACAGTGGGCCACAAAAGTGTTCGTACACTTGCAATTTCTTATAATATTTAATGGTTTCTACTAATAAAAATTAATATATTGTGATTGTAATTTTTTTATGTGTGTGTGTGATATCTGCAACTTGTTCTTAATAGAATGATACAATTAATTTTTTCAAAAAAATTATTTATTCTTTTTTATAATTAATAATCAAAAAGCTACTAAAAAATTACGCCACAAAAGTCTACGTACCCTTAACAAAAATCTCAACTTAGCTTTAAATATAGTATTTCTTTCTGAACCCGCGGTCACTCGCGCCTGTTCTTGCTACCTTCGTTACTCGCGGGGTGTAGAGAGCACCCCAAACTTTTAACACGTGTATTTAATTATGAAAATAAAAATTAAGTCATTATGATACATATTTATAAAGTACAAGATGTTTTTTGTATTATACAAATAAAATTATTAAATTTATTGCACACAAATGAGACTAACATTAATTTAAACTAAACATACAAAATTTTCATTTTAAAACACATAATTTTATATTTTTTCATAAACCAGTATAAAACACATATGCCAGTAATAAATATACTTTATAATTAATAAGATAATGATAGTAGAAAGTGTAGAAAAATAATATTTTAATCATTTTCCATACTTTCAGAGCAGACTGTATACAAATGCTCAACTTCTAGCAGGAGTTCTCAGCCCTCCAGATAAACTTTTGAAGGGCATTACATTCCAATCGTTCCTTAAAGAGGGATTGCATCAGGCCTGAAGGTTCAATAACCTAAACTGTGCAGCTACAGAAAAAATCGTGGTTCTGCACATTATTTTTAGAATTCTGGGAGGATTTTCTTGTTGCTGGGGTGTACAGAACACCCCGCGCGAGTGATCGCGGGTTAATTTAGTTCTTAGTACGATATCTTTTAGTGTCCACAACAACTTTTAAACTTCTTGGTATAGATTTAATCAGTTTTTTGTAATTTCTGCATCGATTTTCCTGCGTTCTTCTGTGATTATTGTTTTTACTTCACATTTTGTGTCTATTTGTCCTGTTTTCTTTTTTTTTACATCAAGATCTTCCGAAATATGTTCTATTGGGCTAATCAAAGTGATTGAGGAGGAGTTTTCATAATTTGGGGACAGTTACAGAGACACCAGGGGCGTACATTGATAGTAGTGCGCTTGGCTACATTACCCTGTCAAAAAATTAAGTCGTCTCCAATATCCAAATTTCGGGCGGATAATTTAAAATTTCTCTTTAAAATATTAAAATAGAACACATGATTCACAATACCATCAAAAAATACCAAATTACCTAATTTTGAGGCCAATTTGCAACCCCATGCCAGAGCACTTCCATGCTGAAGCATGGAGGTGGAGGAGTTCTTGTTCCACATAAATTCATGGGATTAAACTCTTTATTTTTTAATTTACAAGCTATTATAGGCCCATCGGAACCAAAAATGTTGAATTATCTGCTATCCCAATCAATTTGCTGTCAATTTTGAATTTTCTGAAATGTAATCCCAAGAATCTAGTTGGATGAATAAAACATAGATTTAGAAGTGTTCTTGCGTGGGGGTGTAAATTGACCGCAGAATTAGGTAATTTGGTAGTTTTTGTTGATATTGTGAATCATGAGCTCTATTTAATATTTTAAAGAGAAATTTTAAATTATTCGCCCAAAATTTTGATATTCGAAACGACTTCATTTTTTAACAAGATAGTGACACCAAGCGCACTCTTCTCAATGTACGTCACTCGTGTCTCTATCACTGTCCCCAAATTATGAAAACACCTCCTCAATTTATTTATTCCAGTAGAACATATTTTAAGAGATTTTGATATGTAAAAAAAGAAAGCATGACAAATAAAAACAAAATGTGAAGTAAAAACAATAATCACAGAAGAATGCAGGAAAATCGATGCAGAAATTACAAAAAACTGATTAAATCTATACCAAGAAGCTTAAAAGTTGTTGTGGACACTAAAAAGATATCGTACTAAGTTCTAAATTAAGAAAGAAATACAATATTTAAAGCTAAGTTGAGATATTTGTTAAGTGTATGAAGACTTTTGTGGCGTAATTTTTTAGTAGCTTTTTGATGATTAATTGTAAAAAAAATAGTTATACTATTTTTTTAAAAATTAATTATGTAATTCCATTAAGAACAAGTTGCAGATATCATAAAAAAATTACAATCACAATATATTAATTTTTATTAGTCGAAAACATTAATTTTTTTAAGAAATTGCAAGTGTACGAACAGTTTTGTGGCACACTGTATATATATATATATATATATATATATATATATATATATATATATACAAGGTAAGTAGATCTAGCTTTATTTATCTTGATAACTTTATTACCTGTTTACTTCAGAAACATGCAACTTAGTCTAAATACATTCAATATTAATTCTCTATTGTTACGATTATAATCTAAGTTTTAATGATTGCTGCTTTTAAATCTTATTTCCTTTCCCTACTGCCAAATAGTATATGCAAATCAGAAGTGAAGGTTGCTGCCCCGAAAACAATGTTTACCCCAGAAATTTTAGTTCCTGAGACTAAGCTTGTACTATTGTTGCTAACTTATTTTTGACGTATACTAGAGGTGGGGAACCTGCAGCCTCTGTGAAATTCTGGTGCTGCCATCATATTAACTAGCATTTGCATTAATTAATATTTAATTATATTGATTACAAAAATTTACAAAACAATAGACTTAAATAAGGGCCGCATTAATGTATGTATGTTTCAATGACTACTTGTGGGAATAGCGAATTTTACATTTTTAATGTTAGAACGCCACGCCTGATGCAACACGTCATCACTAGCATACATGTTATATGATCTTTACATAAGGAAAAAAAACATTTTCTTACTAGTATTGGTGTGACTGACTTCATGTACGTTAAAAAGCATTATTTTTCTTTATGAATGGCATTTGTATATTAATGAAGTGTTTTATTATAAGTCGGTTGAATGAGATACAACAATTATGTTCTACAAAAAGACACTTGTGATATATTGGATTTCAGATATTCATAACCATCATAATTTCAGTATATTTTATTTGTCAATTCGTGCTTAATAACATATTTTATTACTGAAGAATACACACAACTTTGAGCAGAGAAAATAAGAACAGAATATTTCTTCGTAGAACAAACTAGATGATTTATTTTTAACTCAGTATGAACAAACGATTCTTTTTCGTTGTAATCACACAATCAGCGTTGCCATAAATATATGGATAGAAAACAAAATATTAAGGTGATGCTAAGAAAGTTGTGTGCAAGTAACAAAAAGCATAGTTAAAAGTAAAAAACAGTATTAGCTGTGGTTCAAAAAAGATGTAAACTTGTAAGCTACAACAGATTTATCCTTTATAAATCTTGTAAGATGCTGGTAACAGACTCATTTCGTATTGCTAACGGCCATTGTGAAAATATGGTTATTATTTTGCGAATTCTGTGGTTTTGCTAGCACATAGTGTTACTGTATTTCTAGGAAGTGTACGACTTCATAGAGAAATTATTTAATATTAGGCTTTTCCCATCATGTTAAATTGTAAGAGAAGAAAATTAAATGAAGAAAACAAAACATTTAATGTAGAGTAGGAGTTAGATTTCTTCAAAACCTCTGTAAAATTATATAAACCATCTAAATACAGTAGCAGGACATAGTTATTCATCACCCGATGCTAATAGTAGCCACACACACACACACACACACATTGAACGCATTCGTCTTGATTTATTCTTGCTTTAAAATCACAGGAAAAGATAGCACGATAATTTTCTCTTCTGTCTAAAATTTTATTCTACGCTAAAAAACCTGAAGTAAGTCAGTAAAAAATCGTCAGCTGAGTTAAAATGCTTTGTATTTTCAAATTAAACATTAATTTTTTTATAACTTCTCGTCTGCACGTATCTCAAAATTTTCAGACTTACCATTGTATTAAGTTTCCAAAATTCGGTATCGCACATTATCGTAATCGTGTAAGCAATTTTTAAGCTTAAAACCTCATGCTTCCATTTACTACTGCGCTCTTAATTCCGTTTCTACACATATTGTCAAATAATTTATTTCTGTTTAATTCATAAAACTTGCTTTGTTCCAAATGATCGATATCAGGATCCCGTAAATACTTCATAAATCACACTATGTGTTTTATTATTTAACATTTTATAATTTTTTTTTCAACTTGCTTGTGAATTTCTGTAATTGGAATTATTTATTTATAATACCAAACGCATTCCTCTGTTTCTCAAAAATGATTTAACGTCAGTTATTGCAGTATTAAAAATGACCCTTTTATGAACTTCTCTACATTTAAAGACAACTTATTGTGAACAATATAAAATGAAAATAAAGTTAGAGCAGTATTATATTGCTTCTATACTCTAATATTCAGCTCTCTCTCTGCATCGCAGATAAACATTTAGAATTATTTGTGATACATAGAAAAATATAGAATCAAATTTGGTGATTTTTTAAGTTATACTTCTTTTGGGCGTTAGAGAAATAGGATGAGGGTTAATTTTTACGATACGTGCGCACACCGTCACGGATGGGACGCAAAACCGTCACTGATGCGAAATTGCCTTGTCTAGAAATATACAAAACGGGACAGATCATTGCCGCCTTCAAAATTCTCAGGAAAATATTTCTCTTCACTTCACTGAAGGGGAAACCCTGGTTTGAACCGGAAACCTCTCAATCTGCAGTTGAATACTTTACCACTGAGCTATACACCACGCCTCACCGAAGATTTGCTCTGTGTTCCATAGGAACGGATACGAAAATGCTTTGTATAGAAATATGAAGAAACGGGACAGATCATTGCCGCCTTCGAAATTCTCAAAAAAATATTTCTCTTCACTTCCCTGAAGAAGAGGACACCCGGGTTTGAACCAAGGACCTCTCGATCTGTAGTCGAATAATCTACCATTGAGCTATATCTCCACGTCAGCTAACCTAACCAGACAAATACGAAAATGCTTTGTCTGGAAATATACAGAACGGGTCAGATCATTCCCGCCTTCGAAATTCTTAAAAAAAAATATTTCTCTTCACTTTCCTGAAGAGGGAGTGTGTGTGTATAAGGTTTTATATGGCTCAAGAGCCAATTTTGGCTATACTGCGCCAAACATTTGTTAAAAAATTTAAAATGTTTTATAAGATATAAAAAAATAATGACAATAAAGTTTTAAAAAGTTTAAATTTCAAATCACACAAAACCGTTTTCAAGTAATTAAAGAAAACAAAATTCAGAACCATATCTTAAAATAAAAATATTGAAAAAGACGAATGGAACATGTTAGTTTAAAACAAAGTTGGATGTTAACAAAGTTCGCGACAATACATGTTATCAAAAAATTAGCTTCTACTTTTCCTAAATCGGGTTGGAGTTAACGCGAGTATATATTTGTCTCAGGATTGTGTTTATAAAACATTCTTTTATGGCGAATTTATTCGTAGGATCTTGCTCAAGCTCCTCCTCCAAGTCGTTACATAAGCATGTCTTCAACATCAGTATTATACTCCGTAGGTGCTGACTTTCTGGGTTTATGTGGAGCAATTTTTATGTCAATTTCTTGTGAGCTTTCTTCTATTTCTCGAATTTCGTTTTACATACTTTGGGATTTCAGGTGCATTAGAATGTTCACTATTGGATGTAGTAGGGACAGACTCTGGTAATGAAACTAAAGGTTGGATTTCAGTTGAAAGTGCAGCAAATTTATTAGAAGTTGTAAGAGGGCGGGTTTCAGTTTCTAAAGATGAAGCAGAAGTATTCAGGTTATTTCTAGAGGAAGTAGTAGGAATAGGTGTATTGGTAACAGAGACTCACTTTGTATTGTTGGTATTATTGCAGATGTGGAAAGAAGTAAATGTACTTGAAAGGATGAAGATGACGTGGAGGCGGTAGACACTGAAGACGAGGTAGTTGGCATCGGTTTGTAGAAGATACGGGTTTCAGATATTGTAAAGGTGGGCAGATTATGTTTGTTATATTTGTGTGTGTGTGGATCTGTTTGGGTAGTTGTGTGGATATAGTTGAGGGTTTAGTAGCCTGAGCATATCTTTGGGTTAACCGAGGAACTATTAATTTGCGTGCTTCAAAATAAGATATGTTTTTATCGGTTTAAATTTCTTGTATTTGTTTTTCAGTTTTTCATTTTGGACAAACTTTGGAATCCGCCGAATGAGGTTGTGAACATTTAATGCATTTCGGTTCTAGAGTACAATCTATAGAAGAATGCCCGACAGATGCACACCTAGAAAATGTTAGTTGTCCGCGGCAGGAAGGTTAAGAATGACCGAACCTCTGACACTTAAAACAGCACAGAGGATTCGGAATGTATGGGCGAATTTTGCAATTAAGGTAACAGGCTTTTATTGTGGTCAGGAGTTTAGGTCTATTGAATGTCAAAATTATGTGTTTAGTTGGAATAATGGCAGCATCTTTTTTTAAAGTAATTCTTCTGACCTGAACTGCACCCTTGTCTGAAAATCTCTCAAGGCACCATCAGAAGTGCACAACAGGTCAAGTTCGGAAATGACACCTCGACAGGAATTTAAAGATTTATGAAGGGTAACTAGAAAGGGAGAGTCTAGAAATGTTTTTGCAGATAGATACGATTTTGACTGAATGTTTGATTTTGTTTCTACAAGTAAATCACCTGATTGCCTTTCTTTAACGGATTTTGGCTCGCCTATAGCTTGGAGAGCTTTGAAAATAGCAAAAGGGGATTTTTTTTAGACATTTCATTGTTAGACATTAATAGAATAAAAAATGTGCAATATTGGCAATATGTTCAATGTTGAGAGTTGTGGGTAAAACAAGGCCTTTACCCGGGCACAGTAGCATTGGATCCATAAAAACGCGTACACAACTTCGTTCTGGCGTACCTCCACCCACCACGGAGTCCAATAAGGGAGGCAGTGTGCCGGTCATCTTGCAAAAAACCTGACATGGCGCTTACCTGGAGTACAGCCAGAATATAATGCTACAGCATCAGGGCGAGGATCCAACGGGTAAAACCGACACCCCTTATCTGCAGCACTAACCCTATAGCAGTGTCTCTTCGGGGACACCGAAGAGAGGTACCACCAGCCGATTGACAGGAGCGGGCTCATTCCTGCCACCGGTCTACAGTGAAGCGAGGGACAAAGGGAACACAGAGGTATCGCCAGGCCACCGATCTCCCCCATACGGAAGAAGCGAGGGCAAAGGGAACGCAAATGATCCCCAGAACACCATTTTCCTCCTTACGGGACACCGCACACGGCAAACATGCGGGCTGGCTAACCAACGGTGTTTAGTCGAAAACAATTAATGCAACAAAATCCAAATATTTAAAGAAATCTACGAAAAAGTTACTAAATTAACGCAATAGAAAATGTAAACCAAAATATGTTAATAATAAATAGTAAGCTTTTTCAATAAAAAAAACTAATTAATCTGAACAATGTTCATATTGTAAAACTTGTCTTTGGTCAGGACGTGAAAAGAAGAAAAGGGAAATTGAATGACATGAGATTAAGTGAGTGAATCTGGGGGGATTTGGCGCAAGAACCAAATCTGGCTAAACTGCGCCAAACATTTGTTAAAACATTAGATAAAATATGTAAAAACATTAAAAGTACAGTTTTTAAAAAGATAAAGTTTTTCACACACACACAAATCACATATAAAACTGTTTTCAGGTAATAAAAGCGAACAAAGCTTGGTGGGGGGTTTCTCCACCAAGTCAGACAGTATCTTAAAATAAAAGCATTGAAAAATACTAATGAAAAAAATTCTGGTTTTAAACTAAGTTTAAACAATCCCTGTTATTAATAAAAACTAGTTCCTACTTTTCCTAAATTGCGTTGAAGTTATCGAGAGCAAATTAGTCTCAGTATTGTTCTTATAACATTCCCTCATGGCGAATTTATCCTCAGGATTCCATTCGATTTTATTTCCCACGTCATAGACAATCATGTCTTTCTCATCCGTTGTATATTCTACATTTGAATATTTTCGAGGTCTATGTGTGGAGCCATTTTAATATCTATTACTCTTTTAAGCAGTTCTTTTTTCCATTTTCTATCCCGAATTTTTTTGTTTTTTTTTAAAGTTATACTTCTTTTGGGGCCTTAGAGAAATGGAATGAGGGTAAATTTTTACGATGCGTGCGCACACCGTCACGGATGCGAAAACGCTTTGTCTAGAAATATATAGAACGGGACAGATCATTCTCGTCTTCAAAATTTTCACAAAAATATTTCTCTTCACTTCCCTGAAGAAGGGGACATCCGGGTTTTAACCGGATACTTCTCGATATGCAGCTGAATGCTCTACCCCTGAGCTATACACCCGCATCATCGAACCTTTGCTTTGTGTTCCATAGGAACGTATACAAAAATGCTTTATCTAGAAATATACAAAACGGGACAGATCACATTGCCGTCTTATAAATTCTCAAAAAAAATTATTTCTCTTCACTTCCCTGAAAACGGGGGCACCCGGGTTTGTATCGGGGACCAGCCGATCCTCAATCGACTGCTCTACCACTGAGCTATACACCCCGTGTCAGAGAGCCTTTGCTTTGCGTTCTGTAGAACGGATACGAAAATGCTTTGTCTAGAAATGTATAGAACGTGACAGATTATTCCCACCTTCCACAGTCTGCCGAACCCCCTTCCCCATGTTAGTGGTCCTATTGTCCCTTTGCGGGGGTGTTTAAAATTATTTAAATCGTGATTACCTCGGTTTTGGCTGGTCCGATTGACTGAAGGTTAGTGCCGTTCAACTCTGCTGGTGACCACCTTTCATCCTTGGCCCAGTTTGCCCTGCTAAAGATTTTTAGAAAGATTTTAATCTAGTTACGCCAAAGAAGTATAATTTATTACGTGCGTACATAAGTACACACACTTTTTTTCATAAGGTGAGTATAATGCCATACTAATGAAAAGAGCTTTTAAAGAAGTTTTAAGAAACTAGTTCCTTACTCACAGAAAAAATAAGGAACACAATATAACAAAAAATTTCTTACTGTTTATATGAATTATAAATAAATATATAAATGTATTTATCATAGGTTTAGCTTTTAAGTAAAGCTCAATATTCCTTCAGAAGGAATCAATTACCATTAGAATTTTTTAAAAAATCGGTATTTTTTAAATACAAAAGCATCGAAGAGCATGTAGGCTTCGGTTATTATTTATATCTTAAAAATATTACAAAACTCGTTTCTTCGAAACAGAAAGGATTTATCAAAGTATACTGTGATTATTAGGATGCTTTGCAAAACATTACAAAACACTTTAATTTTATTCTTGTGATTTATACTGGAGAAATGAAGAAACAAAATACTCAAATTAGGCATCTTTTACCGTAATCCAAATTTTGACATGATAGCCTTGAGTTAAAGACCAAAAAGACTAAGCTACTTTGGCCACTCAAGGTGGCATAATTTGGAAGTTTCAACAGTAGGGGGCAAGTTTAAGAGTAATGCTTGTCACTTTACTGTGATACAAAGTAACGAGGTATGTCGCCAATAACCCTTGTATTGTTTCAAAGTATGACGTTAAGAATCCGTCAAGCAATCTGCAATCAAACTTAATGAAAAAATTGTCTAAATTTAAAAAACAAAATTCATATGATTCGAATTGTAAAAGTATTAAATAAGATAATGTTATGCAAACGTAACCTCTTCTCTAGTATCTCATATTCATTGTAATTTTTTTTCCTAACATTTTTTTTATTGCTATTAGGTTTGTGCCAAATACAAATTCTCATTTGTATGAGTACTTTTATAGTTATTTAAAACAAAATATATATTTGTCAATAGCAGTTTACTAGAAACATCTCAACATAATACTCTAAGTAATTGACAGTACACGATAATCTGTCAATAATGTGCATTAAACAATTGAAATTTTACGCCATTTCACGTTATATTTTTAACGATTCTTATAACAATCTTGAACCTTTCCTGCTGATCCTCATAAAATACCCTATTTTAATAAATTATTTCACCTTCTTTTCAAAATAATCTAAAAAACTTGATTGTCTTCCAAGAATTCTAATCATTCAAAACAATAAAAGTAAAAACTATTGTTCTTTCGAGCAAACAATTCACAAAACATTGTCCAAAACTCTTCAGTATGATACTTATATCAATAGCTACTTTCGGGAGGTGGAATTTTAATTTATTATTATTTGTGCTAGGAAGAAATAGGGACGCCGTTAATTTGTTTCTCTATTTAAAATGAAATTAATTTTGTGAACGCTGGCGTAGCACAATGAATGAGCCTTTTTTTGCTACATGGTCTTCGTTTGTTTAAAATGAAACAATTGCTTCAGGGGTATTTGTGATTAGTTTTAATTAAAAATGCTTTGTTGTAGAACTCTAAATATAAACTTGCTTCTTTACTTCCTATCCGACAATCCTCGTCCTGATTGAATTGTTTTTCGATCCAGAAAACATCGTGAATGCAACAATTGGGATCCATATTGATAAGCAGTATTCAGTACATAACAATTAATTTTAAATTATTTCGCAATGTTAAAGAAATATGATTATGATTATATTAGTGCTTTTAAAATATATTGTTCGAAACGATTTTAAAACTTAGGACGTTTAAAGATTATCCACTGCATTCAAAATAGTGTTGCCATCTTGGATATCTAATAGGGTAATAGTAGTGAATAACGTCTGTAAGAGATTCGCCTTCATGTAAAACTTTATAGGTGGCGCTGCCATCGAAATCAGACGGAGTGGAACAACGAGACAGGAATGGAGAGGGAGACAAGATGGCGGAATGAGCGGGATAGCTATCACGTGGGCAAGGATGGAAACAAAGTGGTGTTAGCTAATCAAATTTAAATATACTTACTTAATTAGTTTTTTATGTTGTTTTGTGTTGTGTGTGTGTGGCTGTAATCTCAAAATAAATTTTGAGCCACTGAAGCAGTCGTGGATTTAATAGGCCTGAACTTTCAGATGCAATCTTTTCATTACTTTAAGAAAATACCTACGAAGTTTATTACGTCTTTTTCAAAAGTTTTTTTAACTGCATTCAAATTACTTCGTCCCTTTTACAGAGTTAATGTTTGCCAATATCTGGGTTCTACTTAAGTAAATCAATAAACTGCTAAGCTGGTTCATACATTATTTCCAGTTATCAATATACTTATTTATTTATTGTAGTAAATATACACGGAGTTAAATAGAAATAATTATATTTTTAATAAAATCAAAAACAGAGAGAAAGAGAGAGTATTTTGTCATATGCTGCAATAAATCAGTTTCGACAAATCATTGAAAATCTTAAATTTGTGATCCCCATCAAAGCAATATGATACGCTAAATGATATTTTAGATCTCTCGCGACGGCATACTATTGCCGTCTTCAGACTGAAAACCGACTACGACTGCCTTGCGGGTCACCTATATAAACTAAATATACTCACCTCTCCAAATTGTGTTTTTTCCCCTATTGAATGCTGAGCAACTGGAAATTTGCCCTGCTGACTGTCGTAACATCTACGCTAGATACTGGAGGGCCAGAAAGTAGTTACAAGCTCTGTAACCTGACTGTCTTTCTGATTGTGATTATGTGTGACTTATGTTTTTCGTCTATTTTCTGATTCTTTGTTTTATTGTTTATTTGTTGTTTTATTTTTAGATACTCCATCTGTGTTTGCCCGGAGGGTTTTTCTTTCCAACGAATGGTCTTCTCGTCAAGTGCTGCTGCTAGAAATAAAATAAAAAGTATTTGCAAATTTTGCTGCTAATATTGCAATGCATGTGTATTGTGAGTAAATAATTCACACTTTCAAAAAACCATAAACGTAACTGTTTAGTTGTTTCTTTGACATTTTATGAGCCCTCCGAGTAGAAGGGGTCTTTGCACGTTAAATCTGTCGATGCTCAAATGTTATCTCGCTAGTGTCGTGTACAAGTAAATAGAGGGCGTGGAACCTCAGGTGCTATTCTTTTTACTTGCCCATGGTTTAAAATTAGGAGGTCATCGCAAACCAACTTGTACGTATCCTCTTTGAAAAGTGTTAATAACAGAGAACACACAGTGTTTGAAGTTTGTGGAGACTCTTAACAAAACAATCTTATTGTGAACCGTTGGTTTCAGCGAATTTTCTTGCTCATTTTTTCAACCAAACCCTTGTTGATTACAGAAGACCTCCCATTCCGTACTTCATCATGTACATCTTATTGACCATCACGGAATTGGCAAACCCACTATCTCACTATTTAATCATTCATTGTATTTTCAACATAATTCTTTATAAGTGGACAGTGAATTTAGACTGGCTGAACAATCATACTTTTCCAAAAACGGAAATTTCAAAAACTGTTCACAGGTGGCACCATTCTTTAAAGAGGGTACAGGCGAGTTTGTTTCCCGACACAAAAAGTGTCATAATCATGGTGGTATTTGTGTATAAAAATAGTTGCCTACATGCTCTTTCATATCAAAATAAATTTAAAATAAAAAAAAAGTTTTAAATAAGAGTTTTTCCCAAAACGTTACTTAGTTTCCGGACACCCCTCGTAAATTCTGTCTGAAAATGAAGCTTGGCTAACCCATGGTTCACCATCATTGAAATAGGAATTAATATAATCGAACCACCTCGTCTTGATTGAGCATTGAGATTTTGCACTAGAAAAGATGATATGTTGATGGATTTTTTACACTCAAAGAAAAAAGCGTTAACACTGCTTCTTTTCGTGAAATATTGTAACTACTTTGATGTGCCATCCAAAATCATTAATGTATTTTAGTAAATGTTTGTCATTTTCTTAGGAAAAAGTTAGAGGTCAATTCTGGGATTCAGGATATAAACTATTCCGGTCGAAAATTAATGTATTATCTGGAATGAATTTTATTATTAGTAAAACACACTACACTCTACGAGTTTGGTTAGGACAATACTACGGCTTTGACAGACGACCACCTTCTAATGTATATTGGAGCTTTGAGCTAATTTTAATATTAATTCATATTTTCAAGTTATTTAATTTTAATTTCCATTCAAAGCGGTTCCATAATATAGAACCATTACTTATTATTTACATAATATTTACAATAAAATATTACTTATAAATCTAAAAAAAATAGGTTGTCAAATGGGTACGCTATTCTTTTTGTCCAGATCAAACAATGGATCAGTTGCAGGAATTTCCTAAGTAAATGGGAAATTGATAACTCTAGTAAACCCGAAGCTAAAATACTTTATCAGATGAGTAGAATTTCAATCGTCAAAACTGGTGAGTGTCATACGCCAGTGGAGTCATGTAGCCTCATTTGAAATCGACAACAGGCAGTTTCTTCACATTTCGGCAAAAGGCAAGGATATATTTCTTTTTTATGACTTGTTATTCGTTCCTTCCAAGGAGAAAGTAGGATCTAAATATGGGTTTTAGCTCGTTTTTACTCCACTCCTCCTTATGAGCCTGAATGAGGACTAATCTAAAAATAATTAGAAAGAAAATAATTGACAACATTGAATGAATAGAAACAATAAAGAACTTTTTTCTTCACCTCACAGAGAATATTTCTATG